CCACAGCCACTCCCACCGGTGGCACAGCCACTCCCACCGGTGGCACAGCCACTCCCACCGGTGGCAGCGCCACTCCCACCGCGCCCGCAGAGGCCCGGGATTTCTGCTCGTCCAAACGGTCCTCGTCGTCCATGGCCTCCTCTCTGGCGCGCTTGTGGTTGCGGAGCCGGAGGTACTCGCCATGGTTTGTAGAGTGTAGTCTGAGGAGGCCCGACTCGGCGGATGCCCAGCCGGCCATGGTGGCGGACGCCTCGTCCTGGTCCTGGAGCGTCTTATAGTCATCCATGTACGCGAGCTTGTTTTCGATCAACGTCTGCTCGTAGGCCCTGGCGTTCAGGAGCCGCTCCACTAGCAGCGCCTGCTCGGAATCTTCGAGGGCACGCAAGCGCTGGTACTGCGCGTCGTAGAGTGTCTTCTGGCGGCTCTCCTCCTGGGCCGCCACGTGGGCGTCGTACTCGGCGTCGTCCAAGAGGTCGAGCGGGCGGGGGGTGCCGGGGGTGTCCGCAATGCCGCGGGTGTCGCCCTTTTCGAGAGCGTCCAGCGGCCCGGTCGTTTCGAGCCCCGCGTCCAGCGCCGCGTCCAGCGGCCCGCCCTTTTCTAAGCTCGCCGACGAGCGGATGGCCTCGAAAATCCGCGTGAGCCGCCGCCGCGCCTCGCGGCGCTCGCGCTCGATCTCCCTCTTGCGGGCGTCGCGCTCGATGGTCAAGACCTTGGCGCGGAAGCGGATGATGTCCCGCACAATAGCGGCCTTGAGCTCCTTGGGCACCTCCACGAGTTCCGAGTGCTCCACCTTATAGGTCCGGTAGTACTGCATGGCCTCGTCGAGGTCCTCGGTGCCGCTGCGGCCGGAGCCGCTGCTGTAGAGCCGCCTGTCGGCGAACATGGCGGCGATGGTGGCGGCGGCCGCGCCAAGCGAAATGGCCCCCGCCGCTTGCGGCGCGGGCGGTGGCCCGAGCGAGCCAAGCTGGTCGTCGAACACGGCCGTCACGCCCGGGAGCACCGTGGCGAGCAGCGCGTGTGCCCAGCGGGCCATTTGCACGTTCGGGAAGCGCACAAACACGCCGCGCGTGTCGTCGCTGGTCTCGGCCAACGCCGAGAACCGCACGCCCGCGGCACACTCGGCCGGGCACGCCTGCACGAGCACGCCCAACACCTTGTCCACGTGCTGCGGCCGGAGGGCCGGGAAGTCCTGGAGAAAAACCGTGCAGATCTGCTCGAGCCGGTTGCGCGGCTGGAACGCGCCGAGGTCCACGAACGCCGGCGGCTGTGCGCCGTCTTGCGGGCCGGCTTCCGCCACGCTGGGACCGCCGGCCGCGTCCTCGATGCCCCCGCTTTTGCCCGAGGGGTTTGACGCGCCGTGTTCGGGCATTCTGCGGGCGTTGTGGCCGATGATGTCCAGCACATCGAGGTCCAGGCGCACGGGGACCCGGAAAACGCGGGGCGGGGCGGCCGCCGGCGCCGGCGCCTGCCGCAAACACGCGAGGACACGCTGGTGGTTGTTGCCGGATGCAATGAACGGCGCCACGAGCTTGAGTTCCGACATATGGGGGTGTTTTGTGGCGGCAGAAGAGGGGGGTGTGGTGCGAATGGGTGTGTTTTAGGAGAATGCGGCCTGGGATGATGGGCCTGAGATAATGGGGCCTGAGATGCTGGGGCCTGCGAAAATGGGGCCTGCGAAAATGGTGCCTCGGAAAATGCGGCCTGCGAATATGGACCGGCGAAAATGGACCTGCGAAATCGAAGCGGAGCCGCAGGCCTGGCAATCACCAAGATTTGTGAGCACATATCCCTAGGCTACCTTCATATATTATCACCAGCGTTCCGTATGAATCCTACAACCTCCCTTCTGTATGTGTCTTTATCCGCACTGATTGGCACGGTGGTTGTCCCGTGATTCATGGAGTGATATCCGCATGTCTTGTGGCTGCCCGAAATACAACGATCCCCGGATTTTTTAGTACATTGATCGCTGGTTTCCAATCACATAATAAATATTCTACCGACGT